TAGATGACCACCCCAGGAGGATTAGTTTGATAATCTCGGTTGATAACCCTACCAATGAGATGGCAAATAGGGTTATCACCCAGCCCATCCGTTGTTTTGAGCCATCAATTGGCAAATCGGAGGACATGGGTTGCTCTGGAATGAAAGGTATGGTCCATTGAGGACGCTTTACTATGGATATTTTATGGAGTATATAGCCTAGTACAGCAACTGTGATGACGATTGCGGGTATGGTAGACATGTATCCCATTGCACATGGGGACAGCCGCGCCCCGCGCGAGTCCTAGTAACATAGAAATATGTCAGTGGACCACAACCAGTAAACTTCTTCATCATTGTGGTTGCTGCAGATTGTTGACCTACCCATATCCATTCACAGGAGATGACCGCTCCATAGTGCTGTTCAACCGGCATTGGAGGAAGATATCGAGTGATACGTATCCTAGGACACTGGGACTGTCCAGAGGAAGCAAGGTATTGGGAGCTGTCAGCCCGCAAGTCCCCTTCAATCTTATCGCAACGGCGGATCATCGGCGTTGCCTCCGAAACATACCCTGCTGCCTTAGGCAGTACTTACCGGATGCGGCACTTCCCCACATAAGTGCCAGCATCTGGTAGTTTCACATGGCTACTATTACTACGAAAGAAGTCTTTACAGGGACTCAAGTTTTATCTTCAACAGTGAGGTGGTATTTTAGCAAGGTGAAGTCTACCTTGGGTCTCCGATAAATAACCTGCACTGTGTAGAAGAAGGTGATAAAAAAAAATAAATAAAAAAAACAATTGATAAGTGTCCGATAGTGCCCGAAGCGAATCCATAAACACTGTGGAGCCTGGTTGCCACAAGCATGGTAATCGTACGGTATCAGGGTGGCCCTCGAGACTGCTGTGATTGCAACTTGGTTAGCGTGGGTCGGATTATACATGTCCACTTGCTTGATGCTCTTCGGGGCATGTACGATGTTGATCTGAATGCCATCCAAATTTGGTGGATACATCTCATCTCCAGTATCGTTCTTCGATCGTACATGTCCTCAGGTATCGTTGGTATCGTCGTCAGCTGCTTGATCATACTTATCGGCAGCCGGTAAACTGACACGGTGCACGATGCGAATCCATCGTCTCCTTCTCCATTCCCCCGTTACATGGGATCCGGTGTGCACCTTCTCCTCGTAATCTTGGGAGACCCTTTCTTTCCCTTTCTTTCTGCCTTTCCAATCATGTCCTTTTGATGGGTTTATCGAGTCTAGGACATCGTATGCTAGCGTAGACACTGCCTCCTCATATCTGCTGGAGGCTGGAGGCAGGTCCCAGACCCAACCCCCAATCTCACCACTGGTCATGCCACTTTCCGATGGACTGCCGGAGACCTCGAAGCCAACTCCCGTGATCATGCGCTCCACAACCCACTCGCGACAGTCTAAATCTAATTCCCACTTCTTGCCTTTCCACGCCCATCCAGACGGGGGTTGGACATCCTCGAAGAATCGACAACCCTTGGGACGATCACCGGCAATGCGTGAGGGAGAGAGCGGATCGTATGGCATAGGACTGAACAGAAAATGTTCCCATTGAGATTCCGAGTAAGGAGCAAGGGAGCGGTATTGGATCTCGAATACCTCAACCTCCCGCTCCTCTGGGGAGGAGTCCAAGGAGATATTGGCCAGTGATTCCATTAAGGACACGGCTTTTGAGGGCGAAGCAGGCATGGCCAGACCCCCAAGGTTGAAAGATTCCTGGCCTTTTTTGTCAGCCGCCGGACCTTCTTCCGCTGTGTTATCCAACATATCCTCTGCAAGACTCTGTACTAGATCTGGAAAGCTTGGGTGCATTGACAAAATGGCTGCATTGCCACCAACAAGGAAAATCAGTCGCCACGGGAGAAGGTGAGCGGTTAAGAATAATAGAGCTGCCATGAGCGTGCATGTAAGAAATACTGTCGATGATAGTTTCTCATTCGAGAAGTTTGTCAAGGGCGCAAACGCGGACACTGTCGCATCATGTACATCGGAATAATCTGCCATGCAGTTTTGCAAGTCTCTCATATTCCGAAAGAAATCCTTAGACGTCTCCGACGCTGGTTTAATGGTTTTGGCAGGAGCAAGGGCTGGGCCTTCGTATGAGTAGTAGGGGGTGATGCTGGAAGTGGATGTCGAGGGAGGTGGAGGGTGGCGTGCGAGGAACGCAGGTACCATAACAAAGAACAAGAGTACGGCGAACGGAATAATGACAAGAAGATGGGGATCTAAGCATATGAAGGAATATACGAAGAGAAAGGAGACTGTGTGAGAGGTCTGTTTCCAACTGAGCAGACGCTCCACACGGGTTTGAAACAGGAAAACAATGCCAATCCTACCAAATACATCAGCATTTGAAGTAGCCAGATACTGGGAAGAGTGTTTTTTTCACCTCGCATTAAACCGACGGAAATTGTTGGCCATCAGAGGTAGACTAAACGCCGGCCGTTTACTGTCGATGGGAATTGGCTTGTCGCCGACTGACACTGATTCAGCATCGACGTCTTCGACGGGCATAACTTGCTCCAAGATCCTGAAACGGACCTAGTCAGCCAAGGCGATTCATGCGACATTAATATAAGAAGGGGATATTTATAGTTGCCTACTTGGAGAGAATCCTATCTTGTAGAGAGCGACCGGCCTTGGACACTGATCTCTTCAATACCCCAGGTTTTGATCTTTCGGCATCGTCATTGTGCTTCCCAGCGGCGATGACCGGGACAGGCTCGTCACGATTGACGAGGGCGTCCGTAGTGTGATCTTCCATGATGTCCCATCCAAGATGATGCGAGTCGCATGAGGCGAGGGTGCATATCTGATGGCAGAAGGCCAACTCAGGGAAGAAGAAAGCAAGTAGCTCGGTTGGCTGGTAAGTCCGAGAAGCACATGCAGAGAGAGCCGCGGGAGCTTATCGGGCCCTCACCATGTCAGTGGCTGTATGGAAGAGTAAGGATGGTGGGTAAGAAACTCTCAGTCACTATGGAGTACTCCTATGTATCATCTGTACCCAACTGGTAAAGATGATACGTCTCATACGCACCGTACGGTACGAGATCGACAGAACATTAAGCAGCAAAACCAGTGGTGTTTGAGTGGTTTGCAAACCCACCGGGCCCCATTTTTGTAGAAGCAAAAAGGAGCAGGGGGGCACAACTGGTTTCGCGATACGTTAAGAGCGCTTTGGGCTAGGAATTATTATTGTTGTTTACCACCGCTTTGTCTTCTTCCTCCATTTTCCATTTTCCACTTCCTCGTCCTCTTACGCTTCCTAACAGGCCCCGGGAGGGTTACTCACTTCTTTGTCTGATCGCTACCGGCCGTGTACTTCTACGTCTGCCCTCGTCCCCGTTCCTATTGTCTGGTTTCGTCCGTTGCTAAGGTATATGCGCCCGTAACTTTCTCTCCAACGCCAAGTCTACCAGAACTCCTGTCCTCGACCAGAGTCTCCCTTCTGCAATCCGACGCCCGTTTCCATCTTTGATCATTTTGGCTCGGAAGGGCGCTTGGGATCGATCTGTCAAAGCTTTCTGGAAGATTTTCGACGGTCTAACTTGCTACCCAGGTTTCTCGTCGACATCCCGGAACAGAGATCGCTGTTCTTGATCCCCGCAATGGACCGGTAGCAACTATCGATGGGTCGCGCGACGGTGTCGATAAAGGTTCTGCTTGGTTTAGATACTAAGCAGTCGTTTACTTCTGAACGCCACTGCGATTGGGATTTCATTTCCATTCCTTCGCCAATCTGAGCTACCATCTTCTTGCCTGCCCGTTTGTTCGTCGGATGCTGCTTCTCGGTCGGAGTTGAGGATGTCGGAAAATCTAGCTTTCCAGCAAACTCCAGGAAAGGGGCAATCGCGCAGGGTACAATCAAGACCATCTAGCCCATCTCGTATCGATGATACAAGCTCAGCAGGTAAGTGTTGACTTGAGGATGGAATTCGGACTGTTTGCGGGTGATTAAATATCGAAGCGTTAACACTACCCTCAATTGAAGCAGATGGTCCTACGCGCAGACGATTGCAAAAACACGCCTCAACCCCGTTCCTGTCAGATACTTCCTCTCATTCCCCTAAAATCGCTGCTGGGACCCGAACTGGCGTGATGAGCAAGAGGAGACTCTCAATTCGAGACCAGAAAGTGCCACAGGGTCCGCGACCGCAGGATCCCTCACGAACAAGGTAGTTGGACCTCCTTTTCCTCATTCCGGTGGCTCGTTGCCCCCCTTATCGAGACAAGTCGTTTTCTTCCTTGGTTCATGCGCCAAACATACTCTTTAGAAATATTATGTGTGACGCTGGTCTGACCTTGATGCCTTACAGCAACATGTCTGGTTCCTTCTTCCATTCCGGTCATTCTTCGATTGATTCCACAAACGATTCGACGCAGAGCAACAACTCCCGCATCAGCCTCCGATCTACCAGCATAAGTAACTTCTCAAAAATCGAATACAATAAACAAACCCCTCCTGATAGCACCGAATTCCTCGCCCCCGTCAATTTCGATGATCTCCAGAACAGCATAACAGAGCCTAACCTCAGTCATTTTCCCACTCCTGGACAGGCGGGAGCTGGGTATGAGACAAGGCTTCCGAACAACAGTAACGATAATGGCACGACCACTAGGTCAAGAAGCAATTCCGTTCGGCGGAAGAGCCTGGTCAACGGTTCTATCGATCCAGGATCGGCTCGGGCTCCAGCTTCAGCCACGGCTGCCCGAAGCCGTCGCCAGAGCCTTGCTCAGCCTACAGCCTCGACCACAACTACTTCGCGCGCTCCTCGAAAGTCCATCGGCCCTGGCTCTCTCGCGGCAACTGGGACCGGCAGACGGCAAAGCCTGTCAGCACGAAAAGCTAGTGCAGACACAACACGGATGGAACAAGGCAACCTTCTGCGTCCGAGAACACAGCATTTCGAACCGGCCCGACAACAGGATGGCACGAAACTCTCTGGCAATTCCCGGAGCATCAAGGCCAAGTCGCTGCAACCGCCATTGAGGGAACCCCAAGAGATCTACCTGACAGCATCTGGCCCTGCAGAGCATTCTCGTTCTTGTTCCACCAATGCTGTTCGAACCCCAGTCAAGAACGCGGCAGCTCCCATGGCAACTCCGTCGTCTTCATCCAAAAGGGTTTCGGTTATGCCGCCACATGCTACTGGCCTGGGGGCGCGGACAATAAGCCCCACTGATGCGCGACGAATCAAGCGTATGTCTACGGTGCCATCGGCGCAACAGGCACCGTTTACCCCTCCGACTCAGACAGAGCCTGTGCCTACTCGTCCTCGGTCCACTGCACAGTCTCCTTCGCATATTCCGCGAAAGAGCGTGACCCCCTCGTCTACTCGTACTACGCCTGACCCAAATCGGAAATCCTATAGCTCTGGCTTGTCTCTGTCATCGAACACCAGCTACAACTCCGCAAGGAATTCGGGCGGTTCATTACAGACCAGGCTATCCCAGTCTTCATCCACGTCACGTCTGCCCACCCCTAAGCCTCGTATGGAACATGCGGTGGCCGATGAGGAGGTTCCGCCTGTCCCTGCGATTCCAAAGGCGTACGAGTCACCCAAAGGCGATTTTGACCCACCGAATTATGTTACCCCCCGAAAGCCAAGTCTATACTTGGACGTCGAGCCCACCGCTAAAGCAGAACAAGACTCAGACACAAATCAAACAGCGAGTGCGACCGAAGATGATACACTTGGAGCCAATGATGAGCGAGCTTTGAAAACACCGGATGCGAAAACTAAACCATCCGCCGGGCTGGCGAAAAAGAGTTTACAGCCCTTAAAGTTACCGCCGTTGAATTTACTTCCTCTGGGTACCCCAATGACGACGAAGATCGAGGCGTTGAAGGACCGGGATGATGACGTCAAATCCTACACGCCTTCAGCACAGACTCTGTCTAAAACCCCCAGTACTCCGTTAACCGCCTCCAAGGCAAATTTCTTCTCACCTCAGGACAATGAGGATGCAGTGCCACTTACCCAGGCTAGAAGTAGCACGTCGCATTTCGCCTTGAGTACATCGTCAGGTAGTGCGGCTCTTCGGACGGCCAGCAGTTCTAGTGCGCTGGCGGCTTTCGACAATATTTCTGCCGGTACAAGAACCGTTTCGCCATATGTTGCGTACAGCTTGCCGAAAAGCACTAGCGACTATACTGCTCTGCGCCCTAAAGCTACCGAAGATTGCTCTCCCAAGGTGACGCAGTCTCACAAGCTTACTGGGCCTCGTCCCCAAACACGATCATCTGCCTTCTCCTCCAATGCCGAGACTATCAGTCAGCTTTCGACTCCTTCTGACCCCGACAACAACAGCGTGTCGGGCTCCTCCCTCCGCAGTAAGATCACATTCACTCGGAACCGCAGCAGTTCCAAGCCCCAACAGGGGCTCGAGTCAAATGGCGACCCTATAAAACTCGAGAAGATGCCCCCACCGAAGCTCCCAGCCTCTGCAACTTGGAGTAATATGTCAACAACGAGTACCTCTAGCCCGTCGCTCAAGCCGTCCTATTTCAAATCACGGCGACAAGCATCGATGTCTACCGCTACCAACCAGCCGATGAGGAACCCTAGCTTCAGCAGCGACCAAAGCCTTGCGCTGGAGCCAAGTCCTTCCAATGAGTCAGGCGATAGTGATGTGGTAGCGCACCGGTCAGCAGCATCGATCTTATCGCCTGTACACAAAATTATTAGCTCGGCCAAGTCGAGTGTCGGGGCAACATCAGTTCCCACGGAGTCCAATGTAGACGCCGATATACGCGTGGCTGATGAAGAAATGCGACGGCTTGGCAGCAAGCGTAAAGATTTTGAGACCGCGGCTAGGAATCTGGATGACTTGCGCCGGAAAGCCAGTCCCAAGGAGCGAGTCAGTCCGGCACAGGCTCTGCGGGTCGCCAGTCTGAACATCTTCGAGCGTGGGGAGATCATCGACTTCAGTGACATCTACTTTTGCGGGACCCAGAATGCGAAAAAGCATGTTGGTGATCTGACTGCTCAAGCAAACTTTGGCTACGATGACGACCGTGGTGACTATAATATTGTGATTGGAGACCATCTGGCCTACCGATACGAGGTTATCGATGTACTCGGCAAGGGAAGTTTCGGTCAAGTGGTGAGATGCATCGATCACAAGACAGGCGGCCTGGTTGCCGTGAAGATTATCCGCAATAAGAAGAGGTTCCATCAGCAAGCATTGATTGAGGTCAATCTTCTCCAGAAGCTGAAGGAATGGGACCCCCATCGTAAACATAGCGTTGTGAACTTCACCCAAAGCTTTTACTTCCGCGGCCATCTCTGCATCTCGACTGAGCTGCTCGGCATGAATCTCTACGAATTCATCAAGGCACACGACTTTAAGGGATTCTCTCTTAAACTTATTCGTCGCTTTACAAAGCAGATGCTGGGTACACTGGTGCTTCTACACAATAAGAAGGTCATTCACTGTGATCTCAAGCCAGAAAACATCCTCCTCGTGCATCCAATGAGCTCTGAGATCCGAGTCATCGATTTTGGGTCCAGCTGCTTTGAAAATGAGAAGGTGTACACTTATATTCAGAGTCGATTCTACCGTTCTCCGGAAGTCATTCTCGGCATGTCGTATGGTATGCCCATCGATATGTGGAGTGTGGGATGTATTCTGGCGGAGCTTTTCACCGGATACCCCATCTTCCCCGGAGAAAACGAACAGGAGCAGCTTGCTTGCATCATGGAGGTATTTGGACCTCCAGAGAAGCACTTGATCGAAAAGAGCACTCGGAAGAAACTCTTCTTTGACTCGCTGGGCAAGCCGAGACTTACAGTCTCCTCCAAGGGCCGACGGCGTCGTCCCAGCTCCAAGGAGCTCAAGCAGGTTCTCAAATGTGATGACGAGGCATTCCTCGACTTCATTTCCCGTTGCCTTCGATGGGATCCCAGCCGCCGTATGAGTCCACAGGACGCATTGAGGCACGAGTTCATTACGGGGGTGAAGATGCCGTCCCGAGCAAGAACTTATACACTGACGACGCAATCTCCTGCGAAGCGGGCAACTACGTCTTCTCACCCTTCTGCCGGCCGGCCTCTGCCAGAACCTCCTGTGACCAGCCTCAAATCCGGCACGCTGATCCGCAACCGGGATGCTTCGGGAACCTCTCCAGTTAAGCTACCCGCAGGCAAACGCCATTCGACTGTGAGTGGGCTACCGCCGTCGACGCCCGCCAAACGAGGGACCAGTATTAGCACCACCAGTACTCCTGGGTCGGCACTGCCTCGCGTTGCAGCCCGGAGTATTAGTGGCAAGCCAGACCTCGCGACGGCGGCGGCTGCGACCAGCTTGGTAAGTTTGAAAGAGCCCGACGAAACGCCATGAGCTGGTCATTAACTTGCATACAGAGGACGAAATGAAGCGGGCAGTACCATACAGCTTCGCAATCCCCCCCTTTTCACTTCTTGCATATCTGTAATAATAATTGTTTGAATTGCTTTGTTTTTCAAGGTTGCATAAACGGGTGGAAGCATCGGCGGTTCTGTCTCCCGTTGTCATGATTGATTTTGAACCGTTATGGGCCCCGTGTGGTGGACGTCCAAGGGGTTCGTGGTATACCCTTAATTGAGCATCTGCATGCCTTCCGTATGATTTGCATTTCGATTTTAGAGCCCTTTTTCGAGCATGTTGTTCTCCAATCCTGTCATGACCCTGGGAGCTGTATACTCCCCTTCCTGCATTTGTTTCCTTTGTCACTCTTTCCATCTCATACGCCTTTCTTATCTCTATCTCTTTTTCTTACTTCCTGATCGGGTCCTGATGGCCGGTGTTCCGTGTTCATGGGCGGGTCTGGGTAAATGTGATGTGATGCGTGGATAGCATCTGTACAGTTGTCTCTTATTCTTTGACCTCCCCTCATCATAGATATGGCAGTGACATGAATGGTGCCAGTGGTGGAGAAATCGTGATGTTATGACTAGACTATATAGGCATATATATTGTGCATATCGCCTGTAAACCTTTAAGTTTGTACTAAGGATGTTGTTCGTCAGTATACTTCGTGCTAGCAAGCTCGTATTATCTTACAGTCGTGCCGCCTTCGACCTCTAGCTTCACCAAGGCCTAGGATCTGCGGACCCTCGACATCGAATGCAATCCTCGGTTACAACTAACACTGTATGCTTAAAGTTTCATCTATTTCATTCTCACGTGCTCTACATAGGGGACTTAAGCAGGAGGGCAAACTGACAGCGCGTATCCAATGGACTTCAACTGCTCCTCCTCCTGCGGATACCGCGGCAGACGAGATAAAACCATGTCGTTGAAGTCAGGAAAACTGGATTGAGAGGATAGACTTGCGCTCTCAAATACACGGGGGTAGGCACCAGCATCAGCCCAGTCTACCAGCCAACGTGTCCTTCAGCATCCAGAATTAGATTGCGAGGGCTAATATCCTGATGTGTGATCACTAGCTCCGTAAACTTAAAGGTTGGTATATCCTGTGGGGCCTTTCTCCAAGCCTTGCAAATCTCGAGCTTATGATTGAACCAATCTTCCATCTCCGACGTAGTTTCGAATGGCCCGGCGGAGTAATGGCTGAACCATCTCCCACAACAGGGCCCACCGCCAATTGGACCTGCTTTTGGTACAGACAACTCGATAGCCTGCATCTTCACGACCATTTGGGCCGTTTGATTTGCAATGTCCAGCTTTTGATCTGTACTTAGTTCGTCCCAGCAGCTGTCCAGGGGTCGACCATCAATGTAGTCCATAATGAGATATCCCATTGTGCCGAAATACTTAGTATCGTCTTCAACCTGCCAGGCGCGATGGACACGAGGAACTCGAATATCAGTTTTGGATGTTATGAGTTGAAGAACAGCTGCCTCGCTGGAGAGTACATTTCCGCCACCTTTCATTGCAAGCTTTTGTGACAGTCGTACTACGGTCGTCTGACCGAGATCATAGAGAGCAGGTGCAGAGAACAGTACAGCAGCAAGCGATTCCTCTGAAAGAGTCTCAATATCTATGCCGTCGAACGGGAAGGTGTTATTTGCATCTCGACTCGCTGGCTATCGAAGGATGTTAGATGTGGACTTATATACAACTGAAGAGATATCTGTACGTCGATAAAAGGAGTAAAAACTCGTTCCATCGCTGACCTGTGCTGTGAAGAATCAATCAGTCAAGGTCGGTTTCCACCTGGAAGAGAAAAATACTTGGTTTGTGTGTTTTTGTTGATGATAATTGTTGTGTATTTGTTGGTATGTGGATGAATAAGTGTGCTTGAGAGTGGACTGTCGTGGTACCCAGGCTTTCTTTGCGTACTCTGTCTACATGCATTTCTCTCGATGTGGAGGTGCGAGGACAACAGAGTCAGCTGAAAAGCAGCCACAATATTCTATTGGCGGCTGCTCTTTGAACGGCATTTCACACCGTCCGAGCCGCATATTTATCCAGATTCAGAACTCGTCTTATGACCTCAAAGGTCCTATAATTGAGCTTTCTACCATTTGGCCTTTCACTGGGGAATTAGGGTACTAGTGGGGTAGTTATCAAGGAATTCTCAGTAGGAGATTATCTGATGTATTTTGAGCTCATCATAGTCACGAATACAGTTGTTTCTGGTTTGATGTACAATGCCGTCCAGATAGCAATGACCTACTCGACTTGGGGAAAGACCACCACAATCTCACTTGACGTACAACAGAGAATGATCACCTCGTCCTTATAACTAGCAAGGATGTATGATACCGGCCGCCGTAGCTCAAGAGGATCCCAGCTTATCGATAAGGGCGGGAAGGGGAATTGCGGAGAAGGAATCAATAATCATCGATGGGAATCCGGACTACTTGGCCTTTCGGCTTTCCTTCGCCAATCCCTCCGCCGCTCCCCTCTCCTCCTCTTCCTTTCCTCGGCCTCCATACGAGAGCTTTGAGCTCCATTGATTGTCGCTCCCTATCTCTACGTTGAATTGCACCCTGTCCTTCCTTTCATTCTCTTCTACCATCCCCCTTATTCATGCCTTGATCGGTTGAATCGTTATACACTTCGCGACACGCATTCGTGATGAATGGCTTCGCATCGCACGGCCTCGACGAGGATGCATTCGGGGAGAAGTCTGGGCTGCAGGGCGGCCTGAAGACATTTGATGCTTTTCGTATGTTGAGCTCCGTATTTTATGGATTCATTTGATGTCCACAACCCTACATTTACTATGGTCCAAGCCTTGTGGTAAACAGCCGCGCATGGATATACTGCCAGTCCATTCCAGCTACACCCCGAACTAACATCGCATTGTTCACCCAGCCAAGACAAAACCCTCATACACGGCCCCATCCCGCCGTGGAGGACAATGGACTGTCCTCATTCTCGTCATCTGCACAGTCTTCACCTTCTCAGAATTCCGCACCTGGCTCCACGGCTCCGAGAACCACCACTTCAGCGTCGAAAAGGGTGTCGGCCATGACCTGCAACTGAACCTTGATCTCGTTGTTCGTATGCCCTGCGACACCCTCGATGTCAACATTCAAGATGCCTCCGGCGACCGCATTCTCGCCGGCGACCTGCTCCAACGCGAACGCACCAGCTGGAAGCTCTGGATGGACAAGCGCAACCGCGAAACCTCCGGCGGCGTCCACGAATACCAAACCCTCAGCCAAGAAGACACGGACCGGATTTCTGCGCGCGAAGCCGATGCACATGTCCACCATGTCCTCGGCGAAGTGAGGAAGAACCCGCGCCGGAAGTTTGCCAAGGGACCCAGACTGAGGCGCGGCGATACAGTCGACTCATGTCGCATCTACGGCAGCTTGGAGGGCAACAAGGTCCAAGGTGACTTCCACATTACGGCTCGTGGGCATGGATATAGGAACTTTGGAGAACATTTGGACCATGGAGGTACGTTGTCACCCTTTCAGTCTCCCGCCCACAGAGTCCAGAAACAAGCGCAGTCAACTAACAAAACCCATCACCAGTCTTCAACTTCTCCCACATGGTCACCGAACTCTCCTTCGGCCCCCACTACCCTACTCTCCTCAACCCGCTCGATAAAACCATCGCCACCACTGAAACCCACTACTACAAGTACCAATACTTCCTCTCCGTCGTCCCCACCCTCTACTCCAAGGGCGCCAGCGCCCTCGACACCTACACCAACCACCCGGATCTCATCGCCACCAACCGGAACAGGAACCTCGTCTTTACGAACCAATACGCTGCCACCACCCAAGCCACCGAGCTGCCTGAGAACCCTTACTTCATCCCCGGTATCTTCTTCAAGTATAACATCGAGCCGATCCTATTGATGATCAGCGAGGAGCGGACGAGCTTCCTCTCGCTGCTGATCAGACTCGTCAATACCGTCTCGGGCGTCATGGTCACGGGCGGTTGGGTGTATCAGATCTCCGGGTGGGTTGGAGAACTGGTGAACCGGAAACGCGGCAGAGGGAAGTCGGAGGGTGTGCTTACGGGGAAGCACTATGCGGAGGATTAGATCATCCTCATTGTCATTATTGTTATTAGCATTATCATCTTCTGTCTATGCCTATGTTCTTGTCTCGGGTGTACATCTCTTGTGACTACAGGGGAAATTGAATAGTTAGATAAGAGTTATGTGCTCTGCGTTGCATTTTGTATACTCTTGGTTAGCATCTGGGTCTTGAATTCTGGAATCTAGTATCCCCAAAGAATTACCTGTTCATGTGGTTTCTTGCGCACTTGCACAAGTATCCTAAACCTTAGCCACATCAGTACACCCAGTGCATGTCCATCCCGGCATATTATGACAGAACTAAGAAAGAAACTAAAGTGGATCCACCTGTGTTCAAAGCATAAGTCCATGCGACCCTATCCACGCAACCCACGGTATCATAACCATTCAATACACTAATAGAAACTAAAACAGAACGGAAAGAACCTAAATCTGGAATATCTCTCCCATCCCCACACCCGCCCCCTCAGCCCCAGCCCTACTATCCACCAAATCCAACCGCCAACCATGCCAATCCTTGAGCTTCCTCTTAATCTCGCGCACCCATTCCACCCTCTTCCGTGCCTCCTCTTCAGCCTGCGCGCGCGCAAACTCTGCCTCATCGAACTCATCATCGAAGTTCTCCTCAGAAAGGAGCTCGAGACTGCCCCGTGCTGCGGGCTGATGGTGCTGCTGGTTTGAAGAAGCGCGGCCGCGGTTACCACCGCTGCCACTGCCGTAGAAGGTGTTTCCGCCGGTGAAAGCGGCAATTCCGGAGGACAGGACGGTCGAGAAGGAGGAATGTTGCTGCTGGGACTTGTGGTTGTTGGCAGCCATGCTGCGACGACGGGCATGGTCGGGAGTTCCGCCGATGAGGTCGACGTCGTCGAAGGTGTTTGCTGCTGCTGCTGCGGAGGCAGATGTTGAGGATGTGGGCGGGAAGGCGTCCGGGGAGTGGAGGTGCTGGGCATGATCTGCGGCGAGTTCCTCGCGACGTTCTTTCCAGACGCCGCGGCGGAGGTCGAAGACTTCGCCTTCGAGATCGCGGATGCGGCGGTGCAGACGGGAGCGTTCTTCGTCTTCGAGTTCGTCGAGGGCGTCGTCGTCGGCACCGGCGCCGCCGTCCGTGGCGTGTCGTTTACGGAGGGATTCTTGTTCTTCTTTGAGGCGGAGGTTCTCGTTCTCTACGTCTGCGAGTCTCTTGCGGAGGACCGCGGCTTCTTTTTCGATCTTCTCGGTCTCGCGTAGACGGGTTTGGTGGCGGGCTTCGGATTCCTTGTGCAGGTTGCCCATGGCTTCGAGTTTCTTTTCTAGGGTCTCGGCTTTCTTGTCTGATGCGGTCTTCTCCTGTTTGAGCTCTTCGAGCTCCCGCTGAAGGTTCTTGATTAGTGTCTCTGTGGAGGTCTTGTCCACGCCCTCTTTGACGGCCTTTTCTGAAGCGCGGGTCAGCGCGCTCTTGGTATCGGTTAGCTCGCGCTGGGCCTTCTCGAGCGCAGATTCACTGCCAGATAGCTTCTCCTCGAGCGCTGCTATTTGGGTCTCATGTGCGCTGCTCGATGCAAGCTGTGCGCGCAGATTCGAAATCTCCAATTCCATCGCTTCGATCGTCGCTGACTTGGACTCCAATTGCTGCATCAGGTCCGCCGGCGGAGACTCCGATGGGCCGGGCACAGAGACACTCGCGGTGCTTCGATGTGTGCGGGTTTGCAGGTGCGAATTTTGTCTCTGGAGGGATGCGATTTCTGCTTTCTACATACCCAGTAGACCATTAGTCTTGAAGTCCCCGATAGAGCCCTTTCAGGATCGTATGAAGGTGAAAAGGTCAACTCACCAACTCCTCAATCTCCCCCACCTTCGCCTCCGCATCCTGCAACTTCACCTTCAACTCCGCAACATCCACACTGGCTTCCCGGAGATCCTCCAACTGCTCCTCCGTCTTCTTCCACCGTCCCTTACCCTCCTCCAGCTCCTTTTCTAGCCGCTTATTGTCCTTCTCCAGCTCCTCAATCCGCGTCGACTGCTTCCGATACACTTCCTGCACCGCCTCGCCATCCGCGCTCAGCGGCGGCAACGAAGGCGACTTCAGCATCGCACTCGCCGCCGGCGACGGCGACCCACTGCTTCCCTGCGACACGGATCCCTTCCGGAACGATGATGACCGCATCTTCGACTGGATGGATAGAGAGGGTTGTCGACCGTGTGTGGACTGTCTTCCAGATGACTCGGGCTTCATGGCGGGTTGCGCGGGGGTTTCGGGACCAGGCGAGGTGGGTGCGTCGGGCATGGGCTCGGTCTCTTCTTCTGCGGGGGATTCGACTTCTTTCTTCTCAAATTGAGGTTGTTCTTGTTCCTTATCTTCGTCCTTCTCCGCTTTCTCGTCCGATGTGGTAGTTTCGGCTTGAGCTTCTGTCTTCGTTTCTGCCTCTGTCGCCTTCTCTGTCTCTGTCTGTGTCTCCTCTACCTCCGGCATAGCGCTACTTCCTTCCTCTCCTCCCTCCTTTTCTGTAACCGGCGCAGGTGCAGGTTCCGAGGACGACGTCGTGGGCGCATCTTCCTTGGCCGGTTCTGATGGCTCAGCAGCAGCAGCAGTGGGGGTAGTATCTTTGGAGGTATCAACGCTGGCGGCCTTCTTATTTGCTTTCTTTTTCTGTTTCTGGAGCTGGGCTACCTATTATTCATCCCATTAGTATGTTTAGATTTTGGCGCTGCGCATGAATGTATCGTTCCAACAGACAGGCAGAGAATAGATACATAGGTCGGGGTAGGTAGGTAGCTAGTGTGCATTCATAGGGGAGATGAGATGCGTACCCTTTTCTTCGCGGCAGCTAGCTTCTCAGCCTTGATGCGCTCTTCGTCATCCGCCATTGTGTGAGAATTGCGGGATTGCGCGTGCGGGGGAGTAGAATGGGTTGCGTTTGCTGTGGGGGTGGATTGTTGATGATGATAGATGGTCTACTTGGTGATAGTCGGATCGGAGGACAGCTTTGGCCGCGGTGCACGGACCAATCGGGGAGTTCCAAGTTGCTCGTCAATGATACAGTACTGCACTGTTTTTTAACTATCAAATAGCTGGTCTGATCTATAAATAGCATTTTCTTCTGTCTAACCGTCTACGTGATAAAGTCCAGAGAGGCAAAAATATCAATTTGTAATAAGTACAGGAAGGAAACAGAAGAATGACAACGCCCGCCGTTGTGGAACCTGCCCTTGAGCGCCGCATCGGATTGCCGTGACGCAGCACGTCGTTCGTCGTCATCATCATCATTAGACCAACAGCCGTTCAATTACAATTAGGGGGCTTTCCTTCCCTTCCTTCCGGTTGCCGAGTATAACGCCCCTAGCCGGTGCAAATGCAGGTTGAATGCAGCAGACAAGAAAACAATTACGCCGAGCAGTCGAACCAAACGAGAATAGGCAGCTGAACAAAACGGCCAAATGGCAAACGAGAAGGGCCGGGTTGGTTGAAAGGTGAAAATAAACAGTCAAGATAGAAGGGAAGGGAGGATTAGACCTCCATCGAGTCAGCGATTTCCTCGCTCATGGCCCGAACGGTGCCCTTGCTGCCCGATCGGGACCGGAACTCCTCATCGCTGAGCAGGTAGTGGTCGTATTCGTCCACGACTGGACGCGTGGGCTTCGACCCACTGGCTTCCTCGTCGCTTTCGCTCTCGAGTTCAACGCCCTCACCCAGCCAGTAGCGAGCCCGCTTGCTCGAGGCAAGTTCCGGTGTCAGGTATCCGTCGTCATACGTTCTCTTCGTCGTCGGCGTGGCAAGTCCCTCGCTGGGCGTGTGGCTGAGAATAGGGATCGCTCGTAGATACAGATAACAGACGCGTTTCCGTAGTCGGTTAAAAAAGAAGTAATGGAGACTCCAAATTGCCCCATCGTCCGCATCCGACGGATCCTCATCCGGCGAAAACGAATAGAGGGAGCACTCCTTGAGAGACATATGTTCATCGATAACTCTCCACATTCTCGGCCCCCACGTAGAAGACGCGCCCGCATTGTAGGAACCCGAGATCGTCACGGGAGATGGAGGTGTCAGATCGATTGCCTCACGTGGCCGAAGGTTGAACAGTGTCGAATCGATCGTGTTCATAACTCGCTTCAGATTCCGTTCACGATGGAAGTCCGATGGGCGCAGCACATGGGAGAAGTCATAATCCGGATGACTGGCATTTAATGTCGCGATCAAATAGGCAAATGTTCGTCGACTGGAATGGTCGCTCAGGGGACCGAACGGACTCGACCGAGATAGATTGAGCGAGGCAGCCGCGTCCGATGCGTTGGGAGGTGACAGCGAAGCTGACAGGCGGAGAACCGATTCATATTGGGACTCAAGCGACTGCTCAATGTTCTTGTACAGTTTCCGATCGGCTCGAGCAGCCTTTGTGGTGTACAGATCGCATCCTCCGACAATGTGACAATCGGCAGTGTCGAAATTGAGAGAACTCGTCACGTCTTCAAACTCGGGCAATGGCAGAAACTGAAAGGGAAAGACAAGGGTAAGCATCAGGCCACTCTATCGGAGGCTGCAGCGGCGCAAAAGGGCTAGGATCCATACCTTCATCTTCAGCCAGAGTTGCGGTGTAGAAGTCGCTGATTACGATAAGGAAGCGTGATGACAGATAAGCGGAGAACACCGTGGTCGGTGATCAAGACACAAGGTGATGCGACAAGCAGATGAGAGCAATTGTCGCAGTAGTTGGGTTCAAATAAACCGGGGCCGTTGTCTCCTGAGACGTCACGAATCCGGCGATAAGAGTGAATGAGCTGGCGGGTGGAACCGTTGCTACGGTGGCAGCACAGGAACGAAGAATGGGTGAGTTATTAGGTGAGTATGGAGAGCCAAGTCGCCATAGCAGATGCAGATGAGACGGAAGGAGATGGAAGAAGGCTCAGGGAAGGAATGGGAGATGGACAGCGCGATAGAGCGACTGGTCTTTGGGGGGGTGTGGATGGGGGATGCGCTGCGCCCCGAGGGGGGAGCCCCCAGTCACGTGGCGCAGGTCGGGCCAGTGATATCACGCACCCACCTCACGGGTTGCGCACTGAACCAAGGATGGCCGACCAGCCCAGAGAATGAGGCAAAGTGTGGAATCATCCATTATCCTCCCTGACGATCCCTCCAACTTGTGAATCCCCTCACAGGAGCCCTTCTTTCGCTAAATGACTGACGACTTCCTTGGAGTCCTGAATGTAGTCAAGGTGGTATTAATTAGTTCTTGGCAACAAGTCGCGAGACAGTAGAACACAACGCTTATGTACGTCCAACGCCAGTATGTATAGCAGTCCAGCTTGCCCCGAAAACAGAAACGAACATCCCAAACAGTATAAACAACAAAGAAACGCTCGCGGGCCGGAGAGGCGTCTACATAATCTTCGTGACCACGTCTTCCTCAACCTGAGGCGGCATTAGCTGACGTCGACAGAAGATGATGGTATGGCTCGCTGGGAATGGAGGGATTGGTTGAGGAAGGGGGCAGGGCGGGAGGAAACGATGTTGTGGAGAGGGGAGAAAGGAGGTTATCGCAGGAACTGATCAAGATGTCGGGACATCGCAGGTATAAAAAGGGGCGCGCCGGAGAAAAAAGAAAATGTAGCGATTCGACGCTCCAGAGGCCGGTACTGCGTGCTCATGTTCCAAAAGGGGGTGCTGGGTGTCACGAAGCAATAGACGCTATCGACTCACCTCCATATCTTCCAGACTGTCCTGCTGGCTGATGCATCTCAATACATTCTTCTTGCTGCTCTCCTGCATTTCTCCCGCCAGCAATAGCTCATCGAGGATGAAGTATGCCTTTTGGAAGTTGAAAATAATATCCAGCTCGCACACATTGCCGTAGTACTTGTCCATCTGCTCGACGTAACGATGCACGACCTCGAGGGTGATCAATTCATTATCGGTAGACGCACAACCGGCGATGAAGAAGAGGGAGGCATAGCGACGGTAGACGACCTTGGTGTCTGGCGAAGACGAAGCAAGTCAGATGCAGTCCGATCGGGGCTGGTGGGCGAGCTGCGGGGAGGATCCAAGTGAGGGGTGAAGCCGATTCCGACGAACCTTTGTATTCGAGGAAATTGCACATGCGGGTGCGACGCGACAGAACCAGCTGGGTCACATCCTTGATGATCTTGGCTTTCTCCTTGGGAGAGAGAGTGGTGAACCATTTGGCAAGGCGCTGGGAAATTTTGTTGCGTTAGTCTCCGCTTCCAGCCAGGTCACAGAGTTGGGTGGGCCACGAAACGAACCACTTTGCCCTGCCTCGACAGGAGAATCAAGTAGCTGGGGAAAACAAAGGTCAGCGCATTTCCGGCCAATTCAGTAGCCGATGAGAGACTCACTGGATTGCCATTGTGCGAAAGAAGTTTGATAGTGGGGATGGGGGAAAAGGGGGGTAGAGAGGCAGAAAGGCCACGAGGGAAGTTGTGGGAGGAAGAGGGAGAGCCGGCCGAGCTCTGGAGAAATTCTTTGCACGGGCCGCCCTGGTGTTGCTGCCCCGCCGATTTCACTGCCTCTTCCTGTAGTTCGTCTACTCTGTATGTGCTGCTACAAATTGCTCATGGGGAGAAACAGGCCAAATAAAATAACTGACTAGGATGGAAGAGAAATATGGACTTGGGAAGGATGACTTCTGAGAAGTTGAAGTGCATCAACCATTTCGACCACCACATCCGGTGAAGTGACTCCGAATAAACAACCGCTTATCCATCAGCAAGCTCTTGTATATTCTAGTACTTCAGCCTCGCAATACAGAAATGAGTCATTGATGCTCATACAGAGCCACTTTAAGGCCAAATTCGGGAAATCTGATCGAGTAGACGGGCATTTTCAACTAGACGGACATTCTCTCCAAGCACCTATGGAACAGCATGCTAGCGACATGGACACCTTCGGATTATGATGATTCTCAGCGTACCTTACTGTAAAGGACTGGCTAGAAGGTCAAAAGATACTGAGAGATGCTCTTGAGCAAGATGTGCTCACTATCTCAGCATCCTCTGGCCTGGGATTCACACCCCCTGCTGCCTACTACTACTACTAGTAACTGGCACTTTTCAGATTTTGTGTAGAAAATATATACCAGTCCTGTTTATGAAATGATGCTAGTATATATTTCAGCCTCACTGAATCCACCAATGCACTTACTGCATGAACTGGCATCTACTATCAGGAGTGTAACTGATTCCAACCCCAGAACCATAATCACAGCATTATAGTATAGCACACATCCCCTAATTCCCGCACAAATTGAACAAAGAAAAATGAAATCAGCCTATGAAGGGGAAAAAGTAATCCTGAGACATTCCCAAACCAGGCATGTCACACAATAACGACCAAGCAAGCAAGAAAGATGACCGAAGAAAGAAAGAAATGAAGCATGCTGGCAACTCCACTCGGCCCGACCCAGCAGTCATTCAGGCCAACTGGCAGCTGTCAGTCAGATCACACACTATCACGATCACGATCACGATCACAGCACTTCTCTTTGTCTGGTGGTGGTTCTTAGTATCCGCTTTCATCATCACCCGAAAGTCTACTACTACAACTACGAGTATCTATCTGCAAGTCGCATAGTTCAGAGACAACACACCACACACGGAACCAAAAACCGAAAGAGAGCCGAAAGAGGACCGAGAGGGAAAAGAAAACAAGGAAGAAGGGGAAAAAAAAGAAAATATAAACTGGAACCACATCTGTACGCATCCCAAGAGAGTAATCATTGATCCCTCAATCTTTTCGCTCTCTTTCTTTGTCAGGGATATCCTGGACGGGGAATCTGGGCTAGAAATGGGTCCGGAGACGACCGAACAGAAACCCCAATTAATATGAAAGCGACACGTTCTTTCCGGCCCCCCAAAACTATCGTGACTTGACATGGGAATCAGACAGGGGATATCCAAGTACTACAAATTAAACTGGCTTGCCATAAGGAGATACATACATATTGTAGACTCAACTGAAGGAAGTAAGTCAGTACCGAGAGTTTCCTGCGGTGTACCCGGGATATGAACCAACTAAACTGCTCCAAAAGACGAAACTAAAAGAAGAAAGTGGAAATGTGCCTGAATCAAGTCAAAACTTGACGTGGCACATGATACTAGTATACAGTTCATCTTGCCCATTTCCATTCATTCCCCTTTGTCCGAAACACACTACTAGTTATCGGTTGTCTCGTACATGAATCACCACCATCGTCTATCTATACTCCGCTAGTTATCTGTTTACTATGTGTCTCCGCTAGACTAACTTCTTTGTTTCCGCATGCGTCTACATTGATTCCCTGTAGCCACAAAACAGACCATGCTGGCCTTGTGACTGACTTAGTAGTATAGTAGTGCTTATACTAGTACTAAGCCTCATGCTATCTTGTATCCGTCTCTAAACCTTGGGATCAATCACACCCATGGCCCCCACCACACCTCCCACCTAACAAGGCAACAAGGTTCATCCCATCTTATCATCCATCATCCATCCGCTAGACTGCAATAACACCGCACGGATCGTAACACCTCCAACCTTCCCACCCACCACCTCCTTTCCAATATTCACAAAGAAACATACGGCATAATGGAAAGGGATCTCCACTGCGCCACCTCAGCCACTATAACCTAATCGTGCGGCAGATAGGGCCCCCCAGTCCCGGAAATAGTAACTAATAGTTAGTCGTCATCTCGGCAACGATCCTATCCGGGAAAGAAAATGAACACAGCAACTAGGAACAAGGACGAGATAGTCTCGGATGGCTGGATGGAATATGATTCAAGGCTTATTTACATACTATCCAGGATAGGCAAGACCTTCGTTCAGTTTCCAGGTGTATGAAAGTAATCAGGTTCAACTAAGTACCCGAACCTATACCCACCCAACTATATCGAAGTACATTGTACTTTTGGGGTCAAAGAAAAGTGTTCCAAGAAGAGGAATTGCCACAGCCAACAGACAGACCGATAAACAAGTGGAGACACATGAGTACCGGTGTAGACAGTACTTTGTGAACATACTATATTTATCCCATTTGGGGAGTCGGTGACAGACAGACAGACAGACACTCACTGAATAATAGGACTGAAATGGAGGCGAAGTCGTACTTGTTGCTAGGAAAGGTAGTAGAAGGAAGGCATACATCATCATCACTCCGGAAGGAACCTCCGACAAGCCCTCAGATTGTACTTTGAGGGAAAACCAGAAACAGAAACAGACACAAAACAACGCAAAACAGCAACCGAAGCAGCAGCAGCGGCAGCAGCACGAGGGGGATTAAGTTTCCGAGTGGATCGGGCTTCCTAGTGCGCCTCATTTCCTCCAGGGAGTTTAACTAAATACTACTAGACTACTATAGACCAGTGGGTATCTCATGATGGGATGAAATCATCGAAAAAGTACGTCTTCTATCGGGCACACTGGGATGGACAGAATTGATACATCGTCTTTTTGGGATCTCTCCGGGCGCCATCGGGAGCGGGAAAGATGGCGATTTACCGGAGGATTGTAGTTTGCTTTTTTTTTGAAATTTTTTTTTCCCCATTTCCTATCTAATTTCTTATTTTTCGCTTCGTCTGACGAAAACCGGGAAGCGCTGAAGGACTGGCGCATGGATTTGCTTTTTCCCTCTAAGAGGGAGACATTGAAGGATCTGCCGCCAGATGCAAGTTGGCAGGGATCTTACCCCACGGTTCTCTTAGTGTATCCTTAGCTTTGGGCCAGCGATCAGATCAAGAACTAACGAACTAAGTACTAGTTTCTAAGCCCGAAAGTATCCATCTCCTGCTATGTCGCTCTCTCGCTCTTTCCCTCCCTGTTGCTTCTTGTTGGGAGGGCACGGTCGTGCCTGGACTGCCGGTCCAGGGTTCCTTTGTTGGGATTTTCGACTTTGCCAGTCTGGTCACCTGCCTCAAATGCGATCTATGCGAATCACGCGGC